GACTGGGATAATTGGGATGGGAGTGTCAGAGACAGTGCGATTGGCCCAGGACAGAGCCGAGTTTAGGGCTGTTGTACATATGGTCGCTATGAGTCGCGACTCCACGGCACAGAACAACAGCACAACATACACATCCACCTGTGAAGGAATTAGCAGCATATAAATCCGTACTGTAACAATATAATGAACTGACTGGTAAGTGTTTACCTCTAACAACAAACTGTAAAGATGGTCAGGCATACAAATACTATGGCACAGGACATCCTTTTCTGACCTTAACTGAGGTCTCCAATGGTGCAGCAGGATAGGGTCTTGGATGTGAGTATTTAACATACACAGTAACTCAGCTGGGTCTTTGGTGTTGGAGTACAGGTCCCAAGGGTTGGGTTGTGGCGGGCGGAGTACAGGTCCCAAGGGTTGGGTTGTGGAGGGCTTCCCGCCCTAAGTGCCTGTGAAGATCCATTGTGGAGGTAGTCCAGGCCTCAGCCACTGGGCTTTGGTGGGGCTGCCTCCCTAGGTGCCTTTGAAGATCGACTCTGGGCCTGCCGCAGTATTGTAAACTCCAGTTTTAAGGATCTTATTAATTCTATTATTTTCACTTAGAATCATAAGTTTGTTTCATCCATCATTTAAAATTCCATTAAATGAGTAGACCTAAATGAAATTGTTCCTTCACTACTTTACGGATATTGAAATTGTCTTTTTTCATTCTGCTCAAAAAAAAAAAAAAAAAGAGAGATGAGACTGTCCATTTCCCTCCCACTCTTTACAGTAATAACAATTTAGGAGATCTTTGTGAGTTAACCTTAGGAGAAAGATGGGCAGTCTTCTCTCACAAACTGTCTCTGAAAATCTAATGGAGTTTCTGCCATGAGTCTGGTCCAGCTGGGTGGCACTTAAAAACAACACTTACATTAATTAGCTATTATTGGTACTTAAAATACTTAATAATTTTGTTGTTGTTGTTAACTTCTTTCGAGTCATAGACCACTCATAGTGGCCCTATGAATGAAAGACTTGAACAGTTGTATAATCGTTTCTCTTAAGTTCATAGAGTTTCTGGAGGCAAGCTATTTTGGAAGTGCATGCCACTCCTGCTTCAAAGCTTGTTTTAATCGTGGAGTTCCATCAAACACTGTCTACCATGCGTAACCATTACCACATTTGACACATCAGTGTCACAGTGTTCAGCATCACTGCAACCAGGAGTTAAACCTCTGTACAGCAAATTGACAGACCAGTGCTATACCACTTAGAAGAATGACCAAAACCAGTTTAAACCCAGGCCTAAGGGCTGCCGATTAAAATCACCCTCCTCTGGCTTGTAGCATAACATTCTATCCACTAGGTCAACAAAGCTCTCTCTGACTCAAAGCAGTTTATGAACAACAGATCTAACCCTTGCCCTATCTTATGCCATCCCCGTAATCCAAGACACACTTGAGCTCATTGCTATAGTCATCATATCAATCCATTGTGTTGAGGATCTTCTTTTCTTCCCTGGCCCTCCTTCTCTCAGCATGATATCATTTCCCAAGGACTGGAAACTTCAACTGTTGTTTAATGGCGTGGCCTAGTGGCAGGAAATTGCACTGCAATCCCAGAGGTGCGTGGTTCAAATCCACCAGATGCTCTGCTGAAGAAGGAGGGACAATCGCCTCCTGTACCAGTCAGATCCAGTTTGACGGTACACACATTAAAAAAAAAAAAAGATGACTCATCAAAACCCTTAATGGGCTTAAATTTATAGTCCGCTTTGAATTATGAGTTCTTTTACTCTGTTTTATATTGTAATACTTTTCCATATGTTTTGCTATAACTGTATTTATTTGGTAACACTTGCATATGAGTGCTCATATTCCTTGTCTCTCTGTGTTTGGCTTTTTGCCTTAATTAGAGATGAAGACATTAAAGAATCGACATTAAAGTTCCTTGCTTCTTTGCCCATATTAATAATAGACCCAAGACAGTCTAGTGACTCATTTTACTAGGGCATCTATGCAGGCTCTTTTTGTTTATATTTTACCTCTTATTTGCTTTATAGTTGGTTTTATTGCTCTTAGGTCTTATGAATAGAATTTAAAAGATGGTCTTGGATAATTCATTGGAAAGCATCTCAAAGTGTAAAGACTCATTCCAGCACAGCTAGCTATTATTACTATCCAATGATTAATGAAGTTACAATGAAATGGGAGTTGTTTTTAAAACACAGAAACATTTCCAGTTTCTAAATATCCAGATTTTTATTTTCTTGGCTCGCTTTTGTAATAGTTTTAAGTTAATGATAGAACAATATAAATCCTAAGTTGATGTTTATTATTCTTAGTTATAAAATTCCATTTTGAAGTTAATTTGATCACTGAGTTGTCTGTGGTCAGTGTAACAGAACGTAAACATTTGTTGTTTGGGTTCTAGCCATTTAGCTCATTTAGTCAGATTGGTCACAGGCAGCTTGTGAGGTCTGAGAAAACTAATTTCTCTTACTCTTTGTTTTCTTGCCAGATGGTTCCCACAGAGCTGGTTGAGAAAGAATTTTGGCGACTGGTAAGCACTATTGAAGAGGATGTCACAGTGGAATATGGAGCTGATATCGCTTCAAAGGAATTTGGTAGTGGCTTTCCTGTCCGAGATGGGAAAATCAAACTTTCCCCCGAAGAAGAGGTAGGCTCAGGAATGTGAGGCCCTTTTATTAGGACAGACTGGCATTTAAGTCAGACAGTCAACATGTCTTCGATCTAAAATTCGTAAAACTATGTTCTTAGTAGCCTTACTTTACTGCAAAGAATTAAAGCCCACGTGATTTGTTTGGAAATTGGGTTACTAATTGAACTTCTGTGTGATTGAAGTGACTTACAGTGACTTTCATCAGATTCCAATTGCCAGATATTTAAAGATTTCAAGAAAAATGGAGTTTATGGAACAGTTTTAATTCCTCACTGTGCTCTACTACATTGTAGTAATATGATAAAGTACTTCTTTTTTTCTGTTTTATAAATTAACTTTTCTTTTCTTTCAGATTCTATAACCTTGCTTTCTCTTTTAAGGATGTAGAAACCGTCCCCCAAACCTGAGGGATCAGGAGTAGGACTACTTGGCTTTGAGCTTTAAAAATTTATTAAAAAAAAAGTTTGAACCTAAAATCTAAAAGTTGCATCTGTTTTCCACACTAGCAGACTCCTCGGAAGATCTTATTTCTGCCATGATAAAAAGTCAGATTTCTTTCTAGTAAACTTCGAGAAATTGAATGTAGATGCATTGCCATACATAGGATTATATATGTATAGTTTGATTAATTCTCAAAAACTGAACACACACCTGTGTAACCAGGAGTAGTCCAAGAAATAGACCTTCACTAGCGTCTCAGGAGTGCTTCCCTTTACTGCTTCCCTCCTGCACATTAACCACTATCCTGACTTCTAATATTGTAGATAAGCTGGTTTGTTTTTGAGCTTTATATGAATGCACTGATACAGGGGGAAAAAAACAAGGAAAGTATATATTATATAAATGGAATGATAAAAAGGTCAAAACAAGTAAATTGTAATTTATAGTATTGTATGCTGTCCTGTCACAACCGACCGTAGCTGTCCCTCCAGTGGATTTTCCAAGGTGGTAAATTGCATGAGAGGAGTTTGCCTATCCTTCTCCTGCGGAGTGACTGGTAGATTTGAACTGCATGTCTTTGGGATTGAAGCACAGCAATAGGCCACCAGAGTTCCCTAATTTATACTATTAGAGATACAGTATAATGGCCCTCTTTCCCCCACCTTGACTTTTTATATTGAAAACTGTTTTAAGCCAGCTTCTTGAAATAATCAAAGTTCAAAAATGTTACTGTGAAATAGCTAAACCATACTCTTTTTGTCTCCTTTTTTTCAGGAATACCTTGATAGTGGCTGGAATTTGAACAATATGCCAGTGATGGAACAATCTGTCCTTGCTCACATTACTGCTGATATATGTGGCATGAAACTTCCTTGGTTATATGTGGGAATGTGCTTTTCTTCTTTCTGTTGGCATATTGAAGATCACTGGAGCTATTCAATTAACTATCTGCACTGGTGAGACATTCCAAATAGAACTTTAGGAGTAATTTGCAGGTTATTTAGGAAAACTTTTCTTATCAATTCAGATATAACTTACATAAGATATTTCCCCCCCTGATGTTCTTGACTTCTTTTGGAATATACACCCTAACTAGTTAAAATAGTGATTCTTTAAGATTCCTAGAAAGGCTTTGAATCCCTTGAAATTGCAGACACTCTGTTGTCAGTATGTTTTGGAGGAAGGTGAGCTGGTTTTCTCATACTGTCAAAGAAGTGTTTTAGAAGATTAAAAAGCACTAAGTATTGTTTTTACTGTGAAAAGCCTCATTTGCTGGCAGTGGTAGCCCGGATGCCCCCTGGCTTGAGGGTGGACTATATGTACAGTGAAACCCATTGCTGTTCAGTTGATTCTGATTCATGATGTCTCTGTAGTTAAGAGTAGACCTTCCCTTGCCCCCTAAGCCCTGTGGCTACCAGCTTCTCTTGTTGGACTCTGTTTTGACATTACTACAGGCAGAAGGCTACAAAGAGCTCTGTGTTTCTATTAGGGGCTGGGGATAGGGAAGTAGATATTTGGGACTTTTTCAACTCTTTAACAAAAGGCCTTCTTTTTTCACATCTGGTTTTTCCCCCTTCCATTCCCCTTTTCTAAATACAAAAATATTTGAAGATCTGTAGCCCACTCAAATCCCCACACAAGGAATTTGAGGATGTACCACAAGAAAGAGGGAGTTGGCATATATATGTATACCATCAGTTGTGCTTCCCTAGACAATTACTCCCAGCTGTAAAATGAAGATTGTATTTACCATACCTCACAGGGATGTTACAGATTAATTGGTTGACAGTTTAAAGTGCTTTGAAGAATAAGAGCTCTTTAGAAATGCTAATTGCCTTATTAGTGTTTGATTTAACCTCATCTGTCAGAATATTCGGGCAAGGGAAAAGGAAGATGAAGAGTTGCCATCCCTCGTCAATTATACGAAATTGTGTAACCACATATCCTGTAGCTAGCATGATACCTTATATTCTTAGAAATGCTAGTTATCTTCATTTTCCAAAGGGTCAGATAAAAGCATGGAGGGACCTCAGATGGGAAGGTTCAAATTTAAACTTTATACTTGAGGGAAGAAAATGCATTACAGATGTTCAGATCACATTTCTAATGATAATTCCTTGGTCTGAACATGCCTTTGTAGCAGAATCTTATATAGCTGTGCTTGAAAAATGTGTGCTGGTTAAGTTTTGTTTGTGTTGGTGTTACTGATTGATTTATTTTCCTGATCTTTTTCCAGGGGTGAGCCAAAAACCTGGTATGGAGTCCCAGGGTATGCTGCTGAGCAGCTAGAAAATGTGATGAAGAAACTGGCCCCAGAGCTCTTTGTGTCCCAGCCGGATCTCCTCCATCAGCTTGTGACCATCATGAACCCCAATACCCTGATGACTCATGAAGTGCCTGTATGTTCGGGCTTAATCCTCTTGCTGCTCATGCTTATCTCATTACTTCTCTTTCCCCCCATTACTTACTGTTTATGACATGGATGTGATTATTCGCTTCCCATAGCATAACTTGATCGCAGAAACAGCTGTTTGGTGCAGTTGGGTACTACATTGCATCAAATCAGTTGGATTGGATCCTCAGACACCGTTAAAACCAATTTTTTGCAGTTATTAACTAGATTGTTAAGCATCTTTGCTTTACAAACAAGTATAATGCTTTATTTTCTTAAATATACAATTAAAATACTTCTAAAATTTTATTAAGAATAGATAAAAATTCCATTTATCATTTCATATTCTTAACTATACCTTCTATATCCTAAGGGGAATGAGAACTTTGCCCCATCACCTGTTTTATTTTTTAATTTTTAAAATTTTATATTAGTTTACATACAAAATTCTTATATATTGTGGTTTCATTCGTGTACACTGTGTTTCACACGTTCCTTCATTCACATTGCACTTCATATGGTTATTCCCATGCACTTAGTTTTATTAAATTAATTACCATTGATTTATGCCCACTATCATCCTGTCTTATCAGGTCCTCATATTAATATCTTCCCCCCCTTCTTCTGCCCACTTAACTCTGTGGCCCTGGGATTTCCCATCTTTCCCACTCTCAGCTTCCCTGCCCCCCTTCCCTCTTCTCACCCTCAGCTTCCCTGTCCCCCTCCCCTTCCCACCCTCTGCTTCCCTACTCCCTTCCCACCCTAAGCTTCCCTGCTCCTCTCCCCTTCCCATCCTCAGCTGCCCTACCCCTCCTCTTCCCTTTTTGGACTTTTCTACTTCTATTAAAAAACTTTTTTTTAAAATATTCAGAGTTGTCTGTCACCATCACACATGCTTTCTAAACAATATTTTTGGTCTGCAATTTTAGTCCTGCATTGCAGAAAAACAAAACTCACAAACTTTACAGGATAATTATCTGTCTTTCTAAATTCATTTACTGTCAAAATGAATTATTATGAATGATCTCATTTTAACAGATCTACATTTTAGTGTCAGAATCCTTCATATCCTGGCCTTCCTAAGAAAGTTATTTTATTTATTGGTTTTATAAGATCTTATTCTGTGATCTGAAATGACACACTTGCTGTGTCTATCTATATATTCCACCTCTGCTACCAATTAGGCTTGTCATGACAACTTTGAGCTTGGAATTTTGCATTGAAGTCTTCTTGATCTTTCCTCTGAGGTTGTTGTATGGCATTGGCTTTTTTTGTTAAATACTCTGTAGAAAAGTAAGGAGGCTACATTGAGAAGTGTGGAGTTAAAGGTCCTAGTGAGCTAAATCAAATATAAATGATAAACTTGCTGTGTCAAAAATTTTTGATCTTTTTATGACCTAAACTTTATGCTTTTGGATTCATGCATTAGTAAGTGGTGAAGACAGATGGAAATGTTCTGTGAGGGATCATAAAATGTTTCTAGAATATAGCTTAAAAAGTAATGACCAGTAAATAACAAAATACCATCATCTCCTTACTGTTGCTATTTTTTCTGAACATTTTCTTGTGTTGGGAGAATGTTTCACATAGTAAATAGGTTTTGCGGTCCGTAGTTCATACACGCACATTGTTATGTGACCCTGCCTGCATCCCCTTAGGCATGTTAGCACTCCCTGTTTCCTCCTTAGGCCCCCTCTTTCATTTACCCACATTCCCTGCCTTTCTCTGCCTCCTCATCTTTGATTTTAGGCAAATGTTTTTGGTCTCATATAGTTGATTGTTCTGAGGAGCAAATTCTTCATAGATGTTTTGTTGTTTGTATTTTGGGTTTCTTAAAATTATGATTTGGGTGAAAGTTTACAGAGAAAGTTGGATTTCCATTTAATAATTTCTATGTATTTTGATTGTGACATTGATCACAGTTCTCAGAATGTTACAAGTGCTCTTCCCTGAATGTCGTTTCCATTTACTCTTTTTTCTGCATTTTGAGATTGATAGTTGGGTAAGGTTTCATAGTGCAGGCCCATGTATTTGCTGGAAGGTGACCTCTGGGAGTGTCTCCAGTTTCGGGTTAGAAGGTTGTTCCAGGGCAGTAGCCTCAGCGTTCCTTCTAGTCTCTGTCAGACCAGTAAATCTGGTCTTTTATTTTAAATTTTGTTCTGTGATTTTTAACCCATTCTGGCAAGGCCCTTCCATTGTCTTGATCAGAGTCATCAGTCAGTTCAGTTGGTATTTTCCACATTTCTTTCCCCCCACATTGCCCTTTCTCACTTGCTAGGAGCACTTTGCTCTCAGTGGCCCTTGATTACTTAATAATTGAGCAAATGATGAACGATTAGGTTCTGGGTCTACAAAACCTCATCACTTCTAGGGGCTCAAAGTTTGAAGGAGGAGCACTGGTGGTATAAAGGGTTAAGTGTTGGATGACTAACCAGGAAGTTGACCACTCACTCAAATCCACCAAGTACTCCTGGGGAGAAAGAGGAGGCCGTTTGCTTCCCTTGAGATGGACCACTTCAGAATCTTGTGGGACAGTCTCTGTTCTGTAGCATCACTATGAGTTGGAATCAAATTGATGGCAGTGCAAGTTTTTTTTTAATGAGTTTGTAAAAATCATTGTCTTTATAAAAATTGTTATTTGAGTGAAAGTTTACAAAGAAAATTGGTTTTCCATTCACCCATTCATACACATTTTGTTTTATGCCATTAATTAAGATTTGGCAATGTTACTGCACTTTCCCCACTCTATCCTTGTAATTCTTGGTTCCATTAATTCTTCTTTCTTATGCTTCCTGCTCTCTGGGCTCTATCTTTGGTCAAATACTGCTCTTTTGACCTTATTTGGTTGGTTAGTCTGAGGAGTGAATGCCTCCCTGTTGTTATTGATCATGTTGTTGTTACTGTGTGCCATTGAGTTAGAACCAGTTCATTGCTGACCTTCCAGGTAGTTTTCAGAGGCAGAAAATCATACCACAGGAGATTGTCCATTCTTCTTCCATGAAGCAGCTGTAGATTGAATGAACAGTGTGCCTCTCTGGGATTTCAGTACAGCTTCTTACCGCTAGGCCACCAGACAGAGCTCCCTATTAATCACCGTCTATGGGCCTGTTATTTACTTGCAAGTTGATTCACAGGGGTGAGTTTTGTTCAGGCTTGAAGGGGTGTCAAAGGGCCACAGGCTTAGAGGTGATCCATTACGTTCATTGTAAAAGAACAGGATTTATAATTAGATGACATCTGACTAGGTCTTGGAAGATGAAAATTACGTTTAGCAAAGATTGTGGTGTAGAGAAAGTAGTCCAGATAGAAGGAGTGGGGCTCTTGTGAAGGGCAGTGGTCCTCAAGCTTTGGCCTGTGGGACAGTCTCTAGAGGCTTGTTAAAACAGAGATGGTTGGGCAGCATCCGCAGAGTTTTTCTTGTTCTGGACTGCAACTTATGTCTCTGCATATTCAATAAGTTCTCAGTTGATGTTGATAATACTTGTCTGTGGAGCACATGTTGGAGGAGAACTACTGAAATAGAGGTGCAGAGGCTTAAAAGGTTTGATACCAGGATTTGTGTGCCTAAAACCATATAGATACTTCTGGGGTGGGATGAGAAACACAGAAGTAACCTAGTTCATTTAACCTTAACCAAGTGAATACTAACCTCATTCACTTGGCAGGAATGATGGGAAGTTAAGTCCGAGGTCCAAATTAATTTAGTATGTAATGAGATTCTTGAAATAGTGTGAGATAAAAGAATCTGTGATGTTAATTGCTGACAAGTTGTCGCTGACGGCAGACCTATGTAGATAAAAATGTTGCCCAGGCCTCTGCTCTCTTTACAGTCCTTGATCTGTTGAGTCTGTTGTAGTGTCACTTGTGTATTTTTTGTGCCTTTCACCTTAGGGGTTCATGTTTGCATTACTGTATTGGACATTATTTTATTGTGCTTCCTTGGCTGGTTTTTGGAAGATCTCCAGGCCCTTCTTGGAAGGCTAGACTAGGGTCTGGAACCTGTCCATTATGGGTAATCTTAGGATATTCTTCATTGTTGGGTTGTGTAGGAAAACATGATCTGATCTGGCTGTAGTTTAATTTTTGGTGGGTATAAGGTTATACTGCTCCATCTTGTGGTACAAACTGATAGACCCAGGTGATAATCTACTGTAATAATCACCATCCCCACTTCACTCTTGATGGTTTGCTTTTCATTAGTAGAAAATTACCTTTTCTGAAGAATCCTGTCTACATCCATCCACATTGTCTTTAGTGAGAACGTCATTATCCAAGAAGCTTAGAAATCTCCAATTTCTGTTTCCTTAGGTTTACCGAACTAATCAGTGTGCTGGGGAATTTGTGATAACATTTCCAAGAGCCTACCACAGTGGTTTCAACCAAGGTTTTAATTTTGCTGAGGCTGTTAACTTCTGCACTGTTGACTGGGTATGTAATTACCACTTATCAAGTCTTTTCAAACTTACTATTTCTTTTCCTGGGGAAATGATGTATCTTTTAAAGTATGTGTAGTTGCTTTAAACCAGTACTACTCAAGTAAGCTGATCTGAAAATTGTTACCAACCCATGAGATAAGCCCTGCACCACATTATAAATGAAGCGTGTACTGACTAAACCCATATTTAATTCAGCTGACATTTGTGCTTTTGTAGTAAAATTTTCTTGATGAAGACTCAATTCAGGCTCAAGTTTAATAATGTATTGCAGACTGGTAACAAGTAGTCTCAGAAGTACACTTTACACTATAGCACTGGTTTAATTACCCAGACCACATCAGCTTTATAATTGATATATTAGTTACTTTTTATTTTATTTGTACTTGTGTGAAAGCTTATAAATCATACTGGTTTTTTCATTAAATCCTTCATACATGTTTTGCTTTATTACATTAATTATAATTGATTAATGTAATTAATTATAATGCCTGATAAAGTCCCTTTTGTTTCACTTAATGATGTTAGTTTCAGCTCTGCATTTATTGTAGGTCTAAAGTTGAATGAATATTATAGTACTAGCACTTTATTTACCTCAAAAAAACATACATAATCAAATGAATGGAATCTTGTTATTAATAGTGGGGGTTTTTTGGTTCATGGTAGTGGCTGTATGTATACTTATTTCTATGTAGTTTTTGTAATGTTACTTATATAAAAACATCATCATCATTATTATTACTATTATTCTAAAACTGAATACATTGTTTTTCAGACCAGATTCTTCCAATTTCCCTCACGCCCCCACCCTCAAAACATTTCTAAAGTGAGTTACAGCAGTTCAGCAGAATTGTTTAAGGAAATATGTAGATTCTTATTTTCAATTAGATTCCACATTGTTATTGGCATTAGTACATTATTAATAAATTGCTTTTTCAGTCACTTTTTAAAAATTGAGGTAAGTGGTGCAAAGATAAAAAAAGTCCTGGAAACTGAGTCTAGAAATCTGCTTGTAGAGTTTTATGTTTTATGGCCCAGAATGTCATATATTCTAATTTGAGAATAAAAGTCAGAAATCTTTGGAAATTAGAAAGGAAAAGGTAGATGTCACCACTTCCCCTTTGTGTCTTGACACAGCTTCCCTTAGGCCGACAGTGTGTGGAGCATTACCGCCTGCTTCACCGTTACTGTGTATTTTCACACGATGAGATGATTTGCAAAATGGCTTCCAAGGCTGATGTACTAGATGTTGTAGTGGCTTCCACTGTGCAGAAAGACATGGCCATTATGATTGAGGATGAGAAAGCTTTAAGGGAAACAGTCCGTAAATTGGTAAGCTTTCTGAAATTCCTATTTGCATGTTTTAAGGTATTACTTAGGAAAGTTCCTATGTATTTTAATACTATTTTTAGCAGTAATTTCTTCGTTTAATTTCCATTTAAATTATTCTAATAGATTTGTAATAATTAGATATGTAATAACATCTCATGTGCTTTTAATTTAACTGTGTCTCTGGTGGTTGAAATCCATCCCCAGGGGCCCCCTGGGAGAAAAATGGGCAGTTTACAGCCTCAGAGACCCTGTAGAAGGTGAGCGTGCATTAATTCTGATGGAATAGCAGTGACTTTTCCTTTCGAGAATGGTTAATGATATTGAATATCTTACTGTGTGTTTATTTGCCACCCATATCTCTTCTTTGGTGAAACGTCTTTAAATCTTTTGCTCATATGTACTCCCACTTTCTTCCTATATCAGATCAGTGTTCTGCAAATACATCCCTCCAACCTAACTGTAATTTATGATTTTAATAGTATCTTTCAAAGAGGGGGGAAAATTGTCACCCTTTCTTTTTGATGAAGACTCATTTGTTAGTTTTCCTTCTGTGCATGCTATTTTTTGGTATCTAGGAAATCTTAGTCTAACCCAAAGTCATAAAGATCTTATATTCTGATATTTTAGAATTTTATA